TTGAGTGACTGGTTCTGAACGATGGCATCCTTCAGGCTGACCCGCCACAACGAGTACCTCACTCAGCCATGTATCATTTCAGCTGTCAGGAGATTTGATATTACAGAGATATGTTTGGGTGCGTAATCACGAACCCCCCAAAAAGAATCCCGACACATAATGACACACATATCATATATATATATATACACATCATATTAGTATATATACCGTGTGTATCTATATATATATATACCTCAATTCACTCAAGAGTTTGCACCTACGGCCCTACTTGGTGGTCAATGCTGGTGAACGATGGTAATCTCTGGATGTCTGTGTTGCAGTCCACTGCGGCCATCGCTGTTCCCAGGTCGGTGCGGCCATCGCTGTTCAGTGCATCGTCATGGGCCACTGGGATCGCGCAGAAAAACTCCTTTGGGAGTTGAACTTGGGGTTCCTAAATCGTAAATCAATGGGATCATATGGGATCTATTCTTTAATTTATTGGTGCGTGGAGGTCCCGTTTGACAAATCCTCGAGGTTGAGACACATTTACAATTATAATCAATTATAGAAACTTCTGCAGTAGCTGCAAACATGCGAGGCTATCATACTGCCATGAGAAATCATTGTGAGGAAATAATGTTTCCATTTTTCCTGGTGAATAAAGGCGACAACCGGCTCAGGTTGGCGCTTGACCGATCTGATTCCAAGGGCACACTTCAGTTGGCAAATGACTGCCAAATACCCAGACACTCCATGTATGGCACATTTATTTACGTTCACCCTTAAACCACCTGACTGGAATGTTGGGGATGCAGGTTCTGACTAGATGGTTCATGACCCCGATCAACTCCTAGCTGAGCGAGCCACACCTGGAGTTGATTTACCCCTGCAGAGTTGATTCGTAAGTTGTAGAGGAAAGGGGTCATCCGTAAGTTTTCTATTTCAGGGAGTGTAATTTGCGTTGTAGGAGTTCAATATGCCGAAGCTTGGCTGAAGCCCTTGTGGCAGTGACTGTAGTGACAGCATGTGACAGCAGCAAAATGATGACTTGTCCATAGTTGTCTAGCCCTTTTGGTTCCCCACTGACCACCAGAAAAAGGCTGAGACGAGCAATGCATAGCTCTCCCCCCATGAATCTACCTTCGAAGGACCTAAACAGCGACTGATGCGACTGAGAATCTACCCATGTGGTAGGCAGATCTCTGAGGGGTCAAACAGTGGCGTTGAAGACGGTGGTGTTTTCTCAGGGAGAGAATCAGGAGAAGTTCCACCAGGACAAAACGTCCAGTCGTGCAGGTGGTGACCAATTAGCATTCCTCCCAATTCCCCGCAAGGTTCCTTCACTGCTAACATGGGAAGACGGCCCAACTTTCGATTTCGGCCTTACAAAAGTCGGTCCCTCTCGGTACTTCGACCCCTCCGTCCAAGGCTTGGAACTGGAACTGGAGTTGGAGCTGCAACACTCGGAGGGTCCCACGACACTCCGGCAACAAGGCGGTGACCGGTCCGACTCCTTTGGGTCAGACGAGCAAAAGAGGAATAGTATGTAAGACCTAAGCAACCCGATAGACTCCATGGGATTGGAATACATACATGAGGGCCATCAATGGGGTACGGTATGTAGAATTGATATTATGTTCTTTTTTTTCGATAACATGTATATACGTAATGATTCCAGTCCCATGGATGGTTTAGGGACTAGAAACGAGGCCTCTCTTTTGCCTGAAGGTTTCAGCATTTATTGCAGATCCATTGAGGTGTTGGTGGTGTTATCATGTGTCCGGACTGGGGTTCTCCGGGAAGCTTACGTGTTTGTACTGGGTCAGCAGTGGCGACACGACTTTAGCTTCCGCTGGGTGGGGGCTGCATGGAGGGCCAGGAACGGTGTTGGCGTCGTTTTATGCCTGCCAGGTACGACATAGTTTAAAATGGTGAACCTTTATACCTTGGAGGCTTATCTTACCGGGTTGTGTGTTGATGATCCCTTGCACACTTTTCTTGTGGAAACCGACACCTGTTGGCAGCTTATAGACTCAACAAACGCCCTGGTCTAGAAAACGTTGAATGCACTGGCCCTCCTTGGCTTAAAAGCGAACCTCAGTCCACGCTCACAATGTTCCAGACCGGCGCTGTGGTCGCTGTGAAAAGGAACAAAGCCCACGACTGGCCTACCTCGACATTTAGGTCCTCCTCAGAATACACTGTTACAGACAGTGTAAATGCACCAGCTCATTTTTGTGCGACCAAACGTATGGCCTTGAGAACATTGCAGTGCTTCTTTTGCAGATGTCTAAAAAATGTCCACAACAGAGTTCCAAGCAGGTTGCATCCATCCAACACATACGCCTCATCATTTACAAGACAAGTGTTTGTGGTTGATGTTTCAATGGATCACGCACCACGAACCCGGAGACTAGCACCGATGGACATCCATTATAAGTATAAGTGAATTAATTATTACATACAATATATACATGTATATACATAACGTTTGAAAGAACCCAAGAACCACCAGATGTGGTGCTGACCTGGCCGGTTCTGTAGATATATGGCCCACGGAGCTTGGAGATCATGGCAAACAAAGTATGCTGAAATGTTCAATCCCCTTGGTGAAAAATCCCATATGTTGACTTACGACAGCCCGAAACTCCTGGGAAAATCATAAACCAACCAGTCGAGAATGCTTCACCCAGTTCGCTCTTGGGAATGGCAGGTGGCCCAGCCTTCTACACCCTGTTGGTGGTGGACTGTTTGTTGCTGGCCACTCGGAGGATCAACATGCTGTTTCCGGCCACAAGGCAGGCTCTCAATGGTTTTCACTTTTAACCGGTCACCGGAATGAGTTGACTGGTTGAGGCCTTCTCAATGAGTGCCGGAGATGTCAGACACTAGATTGAAAGAACACCAACTCGTGGATGGTTTCCCAACTGAGAGGCGCCACCACTGGATCTCTTGGCTGATCCAAGCTCCCCACCAGTCCCGCCTGTTTTGGGCGCACCGGACCAAGAGACGGAGCTCGATGGCCCGCATGGACCGGGGGATGGTCTCCCAGGTGGCCACGGATCGCAACAGTCCCCTTTGGGTTGATTGGCTCCGTTGGAAGGGACGAAAGTTTATCAGGTGTTGGAGGGTAGATGAGGCGTCAGATGTTGTTCCAGATTCATGGGCGATCACAGCGACTGCTTTTGGTTTGTAACGGGCAACCAACATCACTTGTTTTGTGTGATGGGCAATATACTTTGCAGCAAGAACAACAAGTCCAGAGATCCCTGGGTTCATGAACTGTGTGCTTGCCCTATCCCTGGCAAGCACACTCATATTGTTCGGGCTGAGCTTTTGAGAGCGAAGATACCTTCCAACTCCACCGAATCAGGGAGAAACATTTGTCCTGCAGTCCCCGCCATACAGGCCGGCAACATGAGGGGCATAGAAAACACTAACCGCATGTTGGAGTACCATCGGTTGGGAAGTTCACAAAGTTTGGTATCGGCAGAGACCTCATGTTCCATGTTGTTGTTTGAATTTAATTGAACTTATATAGACCGATTCCTCCGTTCTTTCTAAGAAGGACTTATATATCATTTCATTTCTTCCTCGCGAACCTCCGCTTTGTCCAGAAACTTAGACCATGTTTATCAATTGTTCCAAACAGGTCCAGAAAAATTCTCGGCTTTTCCATCTTATCGATCTCCCTTCGACACTCGAATTTCTTCAGAACAGGGGACCACGGTAGTACACTGTTTTATCATGTTGTCTTATTCTCTGCACTGCACTCAACCACAATCATCAGAATGTTTGAATGAATCTTTGCACTGCACTGCAGTCATGAACCACGCGATCATCATATCTGAATCAGAATCTCTGCACTGCACTGCTGTCAAAAAACCACAATCCAACAAATCCTAAACTATTAACCCAATAGTCTTTTCTGCACCAACATCCATTGGGTTGGATGTTTTGGATTTGTTGTTTGATGGCAGACTGTGTCAAACAACACAATCCCAAAATCCAAAACTATTAACCCAATAGTCTTTACATTAGAACAATGTTGTAGTATTATCAACTTTTTGTTTGAAATTTTGGTTATTATATATATACTACAGTATACATACTATTTGCATTTATATATACCTCTCTCACTTGCTTTACTGTACCAGAGCAAGAATATATTGTTAAAACATGCGTACATGATATATATATATTATATAAATACAACGATTAACACAACAAACATATACTAAACATTAAACTGCAAAACTGCACAGCACAATTATTCACCAGGTGAGCTGCTTCATTGACATTTCTATCACATGACACAAGGTAACAGCATATGAGAAACAAGATAAAGGTGTACACTCACAGCGCCCTGCACTCTAAATTCATTTGAAAGATAGTACATCAAACTATCATAAGATATATTATCATATAGATCCCTTGGTAGACTATGATAAATTAAACAAGATATGTTCATTGCAAGAATGTAATGACGTAGAAGTTAGAAGCGTATGAGAAACATTGGCGTCTGACGAGAACTGGTGTTTGCCTTGAGGTGATTTTTTTTAGTGGAGTACATCTTGAGGAGCAGAGCCTTGAGGCAAAGCCGAGAGCGAGTTGATGTCCGAATCATGGGGGGAAGTTTCGGTGGGTCAACCAAGGCGGTGTTGACTCGCAGCCAAAGAGATTCGGACATGAGGGAATCATCCCAAAGAGATAGAAGACCCCAGAAAGTACAGTTTGTTTGTTTTTTTAATCTACTTTGTCCTTTGTGATGTGAAAGTTCTTTTGAACTTATTATACAAGTATTATTCGTATTATCCTTCCTATCAAGATCTTTCCTATTGCTCCGTACCAAGTTCAACCATCTATTTAAGGTCTTTCTACACCAGCGTCAGATGTTCGCCGGCAGGTGGAAACACATTTGTTCTCCTTTGGGCGTCTTAGACTTGATTCTGCTTCTGGGCGGCTCCGGCTACGTGGGACTGGTCCAGTTTTCGAGCATTCAGATCAGTGGAACGATGCTGGGACCCTCGGCGAACCGGATGTGAACGATGCTGGGACGTGACCCTCGTTTTGACAGATGTTGAAGATTCTGACTGAACTACATATATGCTCGAAAAAACATACACATAGGGAACCACATGCTTTCACCATCTAAGGTCGTCTAGGATTTCTTCCATCAGTATGATTACTGTACTTTGCACGATGAGCCTGTGGACGAGACGTGCCAAAAAAACAAGGCAGAAGGTCGCAAAACCCACATGGTCCACATTGTTGTGACGTTATTTTCAACCATCAAGAAGAACGTTGTTGGGCAGTTTGGCCCTGTTGAATGAAACATCTTAAAACCCCAGCTGGATTCTATTTGCATACGTTTGGCCCTCACAGCAGCACAGATTGAAGTGAACCAATGCTGTTTGACCCTCACAGCAGCACAGATGCAGCTAGAGTAATTATTTGATTGGACTCTTAGAGGATGCGGATGCTCGCCAAAGCATTGGTAGATGGAAAAAAATCCTACACCACTTGGAACCTGGCAAAACGATGTTAACTCAGATGGTGCAGGGATATTGTCCAATTCAGCTGCTGCCCTTGGGATTCTTCCAAAACAACGCAGACTGTCCTCGGCGCCGTGACCGGCTCGGCGCCTGCCTGCATGCTTGTGCTCCCGTACCAGGAGTGGTCCGGGCGGTGCGACTGCTGCGCATCCTGCGAATGGTGCATCTCTTGCAGATCCTCCCGGCCTTGGCCTTGCTGGTGAAAGGCCCCGACATTCCAACGTGAAAGGATCACTGACATGCAACGACTCCAATCTATGTATATACGTTTGGGTAAGGAATACAGAGACCGGGATTTCAGTTGCAGTGTGTAACGGTTACACGTTATTGGTGATTGATTGGACAGTGAGTCTGAGTCATCCGTACAAGTATCTTTTTGTGTACTTCATCCACTGGGTGATTGTATAAGTGAAGACATCCCATTGCCATGTGATTTGATATTGCAAGTTTATTGTTAATTCAACATAAAAAAATATTGAGATAATATTGAATATTTAATCAACTATATATGTATTTTCCCATATAGTTTATTAGTTTACATATATAGATAAAAAGCTCTTTGCCCAAGCAGCTAGACTTCTGAACTATATGTATTGCACCCGAAGTCATCAGACCTGTATGTGTTAGTCTGTGTTGGTGTTTCTTGTTCTTCCCTCTTCTTCTGTTCGTCATGCCAAGTCCCTCACCAGTCAGGTCTCGTCAGCACGATTATCACCATCATGGATGCGATGATCCTACTGGGCATTATCTCCTATATCGGAGCCTTGATCTGTAGCGAGGTCCTGGGCCGCAAGGACCCGCCCGGAAGGACGAAGCCTGAAGGCCGCATTCCGAACTGCAAAGCGTCCATGTGAATCAGTGGACCATTGCAGCGTTTGGCTGCATACCTGATGCTTTTGCACCAGATGCTCACTATGGTTTCAGAGTAGATGGCACAACCCCCAAATAGATGTCTTTTGGATGGGGGGGGTGCATATGCTGTAAACCACCAAACTGGGGGTAACTTGTGCCATCGAACCTCTGAATCCACTCGAGTAGATGGCTCTTTTCGCATCTGAATCCACACGTGTCGGTACCCCGCGAGGATCCCCAGCTCGGGAACTTCTTCAGCTCGGTCCCTTTGAGCATCTCGGGCTAAAACACACACACCACCGGAGTCCACGCGGAAGACGGGGACGGATGCGGTGCGGCGGTGTTATTTGGTACTCAACTGGAAGAGCCCCAGACTCTCCCATTTTGTTTGACCTGATGATCCCCAATGCAAAGTACTATTCCATACCTTATACATGGGATGGTTTTGGGAAAGGAGATTGCGGACGGGCCCATGGTATTTCTTCGGTTGGGCCACTGTTTTTTTGTCAGAGACGGGGGGATTCTTATGTGAAGGAGGTGAACGTGCTTTAATATGCAGTATAATATCCAGTTGTTTTTTTTGCGAGTGGTTCCCGACAGCTAATTGCTTAATTGTATGAAATCCTCACAGAGTTGGTGATCTGGTTGTTGGGCAAGCATCCCGTTGCAGGTGCTTTTGTTCGAATTCAGGCTTGTCGCATGGATCGTTCCCAGTGATACCACAGGATCCGTCAACCGGGTTGCTACGGCCTTCAAGGTGTGATGGTTCCGCGGAGCGAGGTGTGATCAAGCCATTGAAATGTTTACCATTTACAACCATTAATTACCCTAGATAATTGTCCCAAGCATCCTTGGACCTTCCTACGGAGAGTCTTGACCCTGCATAGCAGGGGTTTGGACCCTCAAAACCTTCACCTTTGAGGGTCCTTGATTCTAGTCTTAGGGTACATTGAAATGCGAGGAGGTATTCATTATAGATTCTGACATTTTTTCTTGACTTCCATGGGCAACCATCTCCAAATGATGATTAATTTGCAGTGTCCAGCACGGCTGATGTAACAGTATAGATATGTTTAAATTTCTTTTAATATATATATATACAGATCCTTTTATACTATGCTCCATCCGCTCACACTCGCAGAAGTTGTGCAAAACCGATCGATTGTACCTTCTTTCCTGATTTGCTGTTGGGGGAGGCGCCCGCCCCTGGCCCCGTCCAGCGTTTTGCATGCAAAGCAACAAGAACACACTGTTTAGCTTCTTCAATTCTCCTCTACTTCTCGCTCATTCCTTTGCCTGCGACATGTCTCGTTCTTGTGTTTCTTGCCCTTTTTGTGCACTAATAGACTCATGTTCATGATATATAATACTCCTATTTTGCCTTCTTTTGTATGGGTTTCCTGTTCATGCTCCTGTTTCCTTTTTGTTTATGCCCGTCCTTTTTGATTTACAGGCCCGAGACATTCGCATTGAGCCAGCAATATCATATTTATTTATGTGTTGCCCTTCTTTTTTGTGCAGGAATCCCTGCGTTCAAAAGCAAACCAACAGCTTCTTAGGTATTCTTCTCATGTGAAGCTGTAGGGTAGGAATGTGGCTTAAGCCTTTACCCAACCAATACACCACGAATCTAGCGATCAACTCTCACCCTGCGAGAGACCGGAGCCTGTGCAGCTTTGAAAGACCCTTGGGGGAGTCAAGACCCGCAAATCACTGCCTGGTGGCAGTAAACAAAGGGGTCATTGTTCAACAACCCTTGACCAATCTACACTCAATTTTGATCCAGTGAGCAAACTCGTCACATTTATAAATATTCTAACATTGACTGTGCCTGAAACCATCCTTGCTTCGCTCTCACCGCATAGTGACTCCGTCTTTAGGCTTCTTGACACACATCCAGCTGGTCTTAGTGGAGGGTTGGCCCACGATCTCTGCAGCGATGCTGAATGATTCAAAGTTTTGGGCGGCTTATTTGGTGGTCTTCATTTGCTTCTCAGCTTGATTTTCAGCACATTCGATATGTCTTTCAGAGCACGGTGTTGAATCTATATAATTTGGTTCTTCAAAGCCTTTTGAGGTTTACTGCAGTTTAACATCACCTGACCTTCCAAAAGGTCGACTTGGGGCTTTGAAGAGGTCACTTTGAGGAACGGGAATACAATCTCACATAAATTCTGAAAACAAAAACAGCAGCTTCGGAAGATTGCCGGAGTCGGGATTTGAGATATGTGCAAATGCTTCACCGTTTTGAGATGCACTTAAGGAAGAAATCCTGCAGGGTCCATCAAACAAATACCTATCAACCCCCAAAAAGGCTTGTGATCCTTGCTGACATCATTTCTCTCTCCTATGGCAGCTAATAACTTATTCAATGTTCAATCATCGTGTTGCTTGATCATCCCATGATTCCTTGACACGTGGAATTCGACTGACTTTCTGGATATACTTAGGATGCCGACAAGAATCAAACAGATGAATCCTGAAATCCCTTGAATTGGGAGGCTTGAGCAACTTTGCCCTCCTGAACCTGGTCACAGGCCTGGCTCTTCCGGGAAGGGCGCTTTCCATGGCTGCCATGGCCCTGAAGCGGTGGATTTGTTTGGGAGGCAAAGAAAACAGCTTCATGCAGTGGTCAATGACTAGAGTCTTTAACATTGGGTCTGAAGACGAAGCCTGCCTTCTGAGAAAGGGGCTCTTTGAAGGCGCCCCTTCTCAGAAGGTACTTACACCATCCAAACCTACTCCAGTCCCACCCTGAGGAGGTATTCGGCCGCGGGCGCCCAGGTGTGGTGTGCGAGCGGGTCATGGAGCTGGCCCGACAGCTGCCACCCGCCTCGTTCGAAGAGAAGGAGTTCGAGTTCGAGATGCTGAAACAACAGGCCTTCTGACAGATGAACCAAAAAGTATATTGAAAGCAGCTATCGCAGCTATCGCAAAAGGTACACACCAAGGACATGAATGAAAGAGTGATGTGGGCAGGTCGTTGACCGGCGTCGGTCGTGACTTGGTGGACGCGGCTGTATTAACTCGTGCCATCCCATCTCTACGTACTTCAGGTACGGTATGGATATGGAATAGGATATGTTCTGGAGGTGACACCCTCTATTGTAGGTCATGGACTCCGTCACTCGGCTCAATACCTTTTGGTGGGACGGGCTCAGTACGGTCACCGACTCGAAATGGCACCGGGGTGGTCCCGAACCACCGGCCTCGCGTGTCCGCTGACGCGATCGGCCTGCGACGCGACGCCCGGAGTGGTACAGAAGCAGGTGGCGGAGTTGTACGAAGCGACTCCCAAGAAGAAGTCCAAGTACTTGTCGCAGCATGAGTATATCAGGCCAGACAAATTTTGATCGATCAGAGGTCAGAGATGGTCAGAGAGTTTTGTTCGAGACGATGGCTCAATCCTTTTGTTCAAGCCGAACATTTGGATCCAGTCACTCGGTTAATGGTCAAAGTTGATTTCCGTATTCAAGATAACTTCATGGTTGACCATTAGAAGGAATCTCAATGAGTCAGAATCAAGAATCATAACCATAAGCTCATCAGGCTTAACATATTGCCTTGGAAGATCAAACTCAACCATGTTTGTGGCCTTTAAGCGACTATGGACATGGTCATGCAGCCGATTTGGGGGACTTTGGAAAGCGTTGCATTGTAAAACATGAAACATGTCAGTCGTTTCTGTCGATAGACCCGGCACATCCCAGCATCCCTGCTTCGTACTTCAGACAAATTAATCATGAAGCTGGACAGCCCCGGGCTGTCCGAGGTCAGGTGCACATCGGTGGCGTCCTCAAAGTTTTTAATTGATATTTTAATCCATTCCCAGCAGAACTTGACTCCACTGGACCAAATACGCGTACCAAAAAGTGCAGACCAGACCTTCTGTTTGGATGCCCAAAAAACAACCGTCGAAACCACGGTCGGTCTCCATTTCGATTGGAGGATCGCCTTCACCCCGCTAGGATTCCCCACCCGCGTCACTTCGGTAACGGCCAGGTCCGGTCGGTCCATCAGTAGACCGTTTTCAAGCGCATCGTGCGCCATGCACAGATCGTGCTGGCGCACACCAGGCTCTTCAAGTCGGTTCTGGCCAATGAGGTTCTGGATGACTTAAAGGCAGGTGATGGCTGGAAGATATCATATATATATATATACACAACTTAAGCAAAGTAAGCTACCCTGGCTGAATGGAAAATGGAGATGAGACCAGTCATTGGATTCGTGAACCAACATGGTGCGATTGTTTGGGCGAAGGTGACCCTGCCATCGCAGAATGACCTGCTGCAGTGCTTGATTGATGAAGATGCCAATGGCCGCTTGGAAGTCAGTTATATATATCTTTAGAGAAGGCCATCCAAACCCACCCCTACACATCTGCAAGCACCAAACCGCAGACGGTGGCAGTGGACCGTGGATCCCTGTATGGCTCGTGATACTAGTTCAAATTCAACAAAAAGCAATATTTGTTTGATTTATTGTTCGATGTCCACTTTGCTCCACAACGGATGGCCAATGGAAGTGGATTAATTGGCCAAGGCTCCTGACTCCAGACCTGCCCCTTTGCCGGTGGGGTCCTCAAATGCAGGGTCACCTTTGAGTTAAATAATGAAATCTACATTATCCACCGGTATGTTGTTTGGGTAGTGCTTGTAACTCGTAGGTCCACCAAAGCTTTACATACGACACAATATCCATCTAGTGGAAGAGGGTGGTTGCCTGGTAGATCCCAAATTAGTTCACCTCCTACTAGACATGTTCAACAAATAGCACGTTATCAAACAACAAGCCACAAGTTGCCACATTTTCCCTCACTTGCAGGGTTTGTGAGCCAAGGCAAAGTGACTTGTAGCGAGCTTCAAGAAGGTGTCCCGGATTTGCTTGGAGTGATCTATTTGTTGCTGGACAATTCCCTTTGTTGACCCCAAGGTCCCAAAGCAGAAGAGTGGAGGACTTCCAACGTGCAGTTAGATGCATTTACATGTTATCGTGTCAACTGATTCTTTGGATCTATTTGGATAACTTGGAGTGCCTAAAGATTCCTGGAATCCGTAGTGAATCCATCATGATTTTCGTTCGTTCGTCTCAGTGATTGGAGGGATTCTATGGAATCTATAATAGTACAAATTTTCTTCAGGTCCGTCAAAGCGGAATGTTTAGAGTTCCTAGGATGCCGCAGAATTGTAGAAGTGTACGTCGTCCCCAACAAAGGTGAAACTATATTAATAATGAGAGATTGACTGGGAATACCACACCTGGACCTTCTCATTAATGATGTGTTCAATGGAAAGAGTATATTCTGAGAGCGATATCCCTTGAGAAAGAAGAGAATCACTGAATGCTTGTGTTTGTTTGGGGTCAGCCAGGCAGTTCCTAAGAGTTGTTCTCCTCTAATTTTTGGGCGATATTCAGGTAAACTGGGGTCTCCTGATCTTTCTTTAACGCTGACCAGTGCTTCAACAAAAACCTCTAAAAAAGGACAAACCCTAGCAGCCCTGGTGTTCCAATCACCACCGGGTGTTTATAAGTCCCCAGTCCTTCCAAAAGAACTTCTGACAGCTCCTTTGGAGCCTCAATAGAATTGCTCTTTTCCTCCATCCATTCTCTGGAATCATACATTAGCAACCACTTTTGTTTAGGCTTTACTAATGTAGTCTAAGGCATGCTGGATTTGTTTGTCTATCATTAGTATTCGCTTGTGAACGATAAAGGGCCCCAATAAACGAGATACTTTTGCCTGATGACACTAAAGTAGTTTGAACGAGGTAGTGTGATGCTACTATTGTAGTCTGAACGAAATACTGTGACATGACCTCCTACTTACGTTGTCTAAACGAGATAGGGCCTCCACATAATGGATGGTGTATTTGAGTTTACTCAATTTCGATGCCGCACATATACTAAGCAATACAAATAGCTCCCAAGAAGTCTCTAAAAAGGCTTTGGTGATCTCAGAATTGGTCCTTCGTCCTTCCTGTGCCGCGGTCGCGCCGAGGTCTCATGCGCTTGCGCTCCAACCGCTTCGACGAGGTGAGTCGCGCCATGCAATGCACGGTGCGGAAGTGCACGAACCGGAGCTTTCGAGAGTTGGGCAGCGCAGAGAGGAGACGAGACGGGACAGCCTGACGTCCCAGGGGCTCGCGCAGGGGGGCTCCAAGTACTTCTATTTGGACCCAAAGACATCCCAAGCACACCTGAGAAGGTAGTTGGAGTTGCAGGGCAAACGGGAGGGGTGCAGATTTGGGAAGGGTGGATTTGTTTGAAGATGTTGAAAGTTGATTAGGGAGCAAGTGAACTTCAGAGTGTTTCTTAGACCCTAGGTCCAAGTGAGTGTAATGCGGAAGCCAGCAGCAAACCCTACCTCTATAAACCAAATGCATCCAAATGCCTTTGTCAGGTTTTGGACTTGCCATTTGCTTTCTTGGAGGGTGATTTTTCGCTAGCCGCTAGCCTAAGCACTCATCGACTCGCGTGATGGTTTGGGTCCTTCCTCCAGGAAGCTGAAAGCTGCAATCTGCGAAGTCTTTCAAGCGCGGACTTCGAACCTGCAGGGCCAGTTGAGGAGCACCATGGATTCCACCATGGACCACGCGGAGGAGCAAATATCAGAGCTTCGCAGGAAAGAGGTGAGAAAACAAGAGAAGAATCTGATGGAAAAGACCTATGCCATGAAGACCTTGTCCTATGCCATTGCGGCCTTGCAGAAAGAATGCTCGAATGCATTTCTACCCAGCATTGGAGCTTTGAGTGACTACAAAGGAAACACGACCTTTGGGATTGCTGAGTATGAGTAATGCTTGCTTCTTTTTGCGGACCCCTTAATTAAGAAATCTGCTTGGAAATGCTTGGAAGGAGAATCTTCAGGGAGGAACAGGATACCCTTTTGTTACTTTTGAAAATCTTGAACGTTTTCTCCAGTTTGGGACACCTGCCAAGGACTGCTCGAACTGCCTGTTCTACGCAGACCGAGCTCACTGGTTCACCACCCAGCTCGCCTAGACATCGAGTCGTCTCGCTTCACTTCAACCACCAGCGCTCGGAGACCTCCAAGGGCTCCGACGGCTCGGGATCCTCGAGCAGTCGAGTCAGCTCACCACAGGGAGACTCGTCGCCCAGATCTCCGACGAGTGAAGCCTCAGGGAGACTCGGCAGACCCCGCGAGGCGCGCAGAGGCTCCGCACGCAATGGCTCGGCGCTGGCCGGTTCCGGAGCCGGAGCCGGTTCCGCGAGCGAGGTCCCTTGAGAGTTATTTTTTCGTTTTGGGAGTAGCTTCCGCTGAAGATCCGCGGAGACCCCTACCGATTCATTTAATGGTTCCAAATAGCATCAAATAGCATAATGACATAATGTATTTGATTCCCATCAATCTATAGTGCAACATCAAGCGGTCAAGTGAGCCAGCACGCAGTGTGTCGATCTGCATTTACGTGTTGCTGTATATAAATAAGATCAAATAAGAATCGAGGCAAAAATGCGTTATTTAGCCCAGGCAATCCATGTATGGAATAGTTACATACAGTTTACCCCATTTATGATCGTAATGTAGGCAACTATTCCATACATGAATGTTTTGGGCATAAATAGCTTCCTAATGTCCAGTGGCGGCCTGGTGAAGGAAGGCCTGATTCGTTCTTGCTGTTGCTATTGCTTTGCACATTCCAACAACGGTCCTAGTCTGAAGTGGAATCTAGGTACAACTCTAGTTGGAGCAGATCTTTCACCAGCTCAACCCAGCTCAACCCTGCAAAACAAACAGATTTTAGGGTAGGTACATTTTTGGTTCCTGGAATTATGAAGGTGCAAAAGTGCAACGAGCCCCTGGAAAGAGGTCCCCAAGCCAATAGATGCACCGATATGCTTTCCATTTGACCACAACATCTTAAGACTTATTATGTCGGAGATTCACATCTCTTATCTCATGGGTCTATAGTACAAGTTGAACAAATCGCCCAATGATATTATGCGTTGACCTGGAAGGGAACCAAACAGCCAAGATCACGCACGCCCCTGGGTTCGGGGCTTGTTGACCAAGTCGACCAAAAATTGGTCGATTTTCCACTTGTGTCCGCATCGCACTTCGGGAAAAAAGAGAGCAACATGCGGTAACCTGATACGGTGGTGCCCTTCGTTCGGAGATGTTCGGAGGGAAACCGTGGACAGATTCCACCTTCGTAAGAAGGTGATGATTCTCCCCATCTCAGGTGGCACGTCGTATTCTTTTGTCAGAAGCATCAGCTGGGCCAAGTTCACCATCTAATTAGGACAATCTCGAGACTTCCAGACTTCCAGAGACGAGATACGTACACGTACTTAGGGTACTTGATAGGGTACAAGCAGGTGGTTTTGGGGTCGGGATGGGATGATGAGGGGACGATCCGTTTGGTTCATGAAGGAGGATGGTGCGCCAAGAAGTCTGGAGGATGAAGCCACAGCCAGGGCCACAAAAGATTCCTCTAAGTCGCATTGTTTTTGTTTGTTTTTGGGGGAGTGATCAATGGATGGACCATGAGGCAAACCTGCTTGTGACATGCAGTTAGGGTGTGTTTTCTGTTTTGCATTGAGAGAGCTACGGATTCATGTGCGCTTCACATTACCTTGTGAGTCAGTAGTTGGTCAGTGTTCAGGAAGATGTTTGGTGTTGCCTGGTTAAGCCCAACTTCCAATTGAGGATGTGGTAACTATAGGGTGAGATGTTCCATCACACTCTTCCCCAATCGATCGGAACTCGCAGAGATGTACTCTGGATCCAGTGTTTGTGTGTTGAAGATTTTCTCCACCGCCAGCCGCCAGGGATAGGGGATGCGACAAAGAGTCGTAATATAGGCTTGAGGGACATATAGAACCTGTTGTTTCCAGTACCGTATCTAACGAGGAGCGGGAGCAGTTCTTGTTATATTGTCAGGTTTTGACCATACTTGTATATAGTTAATGTCACATGAGACTTAGCTTTCGTGGGAACAAATTGCTATATGTGGAGAATGGAACTTGGTGGGGCAACTTCTCCATCAACAGATGCCTCTTTGGCCCATCAGGTCACTCAGCATGAAAAAATTGCTGCCCAAGCTCAACACATCATAAGATATCAAAAGGATTTCATGGGGGAAGTAAAGAAATGGGCTTCCGAACATTCAATCTTTGCATCTCAATCACTGACACTCCAATGTCCCCTAACCATGCCTCATCTTGGACAGAAGGCTTCCTGACGAAGATACCTTTCTTTTCTTCTTTTGGCACGTACTCCTGCGGTTCCCTCGGCCGTGCACAAGCCGAAGCCGGTGGGTGCCGCAGGGACGTGCCCAAGCCGAAATCGTTTGACCAGCCATGGGTGCATCGCTTGGGGGTATTCCCAACGTTTGCTGTACGACTCGCGGAGATGAAGCCGCAGTGCATTTGATCAAGAACAGGCGCGGTGACTGGACTCGTCCGAAGTCGGGTTGGGACTCGTCGACCTGGTGCGGAGTGAATTCACCCGACTGATGTTTGGACGTCAACGCCAGACTATAGTGACTAGCCTTCAGACTATCAGTATCACACTAGGGATTCAACATGGACTATGACTATGAAATGTTTCATCTACCTAGGATGGACTATGAAATGTATTGAAATGTTCCATCTACCCTCGGCCTAGCCAGATGCGACAAGAGTTGTATAATAGATCATAATAGATATATTCATCCCCACCTTCAAGACGTGCCTTGTCGAAGGCTTCCTTGTCGTGAGGAGGCTTCCTTGTCGGTGGAAGTGTGTGGGCAGCCCACTGTTTGGAGTTACGAGAGAGGGCTGAATTAGCCCTATGTTACCTAAGTCACGGTAAGTCAATGGACCTCCGTGATTGTCAGTTTAAAGGATGTTAGTATGGAGTACTGAGCTACAGCAGGAAATGGTCACCGCGATGTGAGGATGGTGAGGACAAGCGATTGGATTGGGATGCAACCAAGACCAAGTCCATGACCTCCACTAGGTGCGAGTGAGCATGTTTGGAGGTATTGGCAGACCTGTGTCACTTGTTGCAACAGCAATTGAAGATCCACTGCATATGGGTGTGTTTTAAAATAGGGAGACCTCCCAAAGACTCCCTGGTAGGGATATACCAAAACCCATTGGCATGTTTTTTTGGATGAAGTTTGTTTTGTGCCAGGCTCTGAGTCATTCCGACTGAGTGGATGTGTCCCAAAAGTAAGGGCTTGGTTCCAAAATACCCGGAGAAAAGATGAGAAAAGCGACAAACAAACAACTAAAAACATGGGCATGTTCTTCGTTACTTCGGGTAATACCAGTAGCGTTCGACCGATGAAAGGCACAATTCCTGGCAAGACCTTCCAGAAGCCGATGAATTCCAAGCTTTCTTTGATTGCTACGAGACTCATGAGGACCGACCCGCCGACCCGATCGTGGGCTCCGAAAAAAACCGCAGCTTCTCCCGGCTTTGCGGTAGAGAGGGGGTGAATGACCTGCTGCTGAATCAACACAGATGTCATGTGAATCATGTCACTCTGTGGACCTGCGCCACGATTGAAGCTGGCTTGCTTTTGTTGATGATCATTCGTAAGCATATTTGTTCGCATATTCGTTCGATTCTACCAGACGACCCCAAGAAGGAGTTGCTTCACTCCATGACGGTATGCTCCCAACCTGGCCATGCTCCCAACCGAGACCAGACTGGATCGTCTCAGACCAACGGTGAGAGTTGGACTCCACATGGCCACCACGAGTCCACGAGGGCTTTCCGATGCTTTAACTTTTGAGCCGAGCTACAAAAAAAGGGGTGTTGGGTGACTCGGATCAGTGTTTGTTTCTTTTTTCGGACCAAGCATCAACTCCCCTTCAAATCTGAGATCGTGGATCCAAGTACACCATCAACTCCAGGAGATGCTCCAAAGGGCACATTCCGGCGAAGGGAGCCTCCCCGGGCCTCGGCGCTACCCCCTGGAACGGCGTGGGAGCGACTGCACTCGCTCCTTGGGTCTCGTGCCCGAGGCGCGGGAGGTGTCCGAGGCGATGTGTTGGAATGCTTTTGCCCTTCTTTCCCAGAAGCGTTAGGTGTTCAATGATTTTCCTGTATGCAAGGTATGGAAATACGTGCATGGTTTGGATACATGGAAATACATGGAATGTTTAACTTGCAAAGAGAATCACTTGTCCACTCTACGTGAACAAGTGGCTCTTTGTGAACCCCACACGTTATCCGTTATATGCAAACTGCGCTTTCGGCAAATGTCACAATGTCTCGAGACCTTCCACATTCCTTGAAGAAAAACATATCTATGATCAGCTGTAGGTTTTAAGTCAAAGTCGAAATCCTGTCTCGGACTCGGTTTGGTCGATTGGCGATGGATCGATGGATTTGCCGGGGATTTCTCCGCCGGTTTTGCCTTGGAGTCCCCTCAAGGAGGAATGCGTGGATCATAGAAAGATGCAGGATTCATATGGAGCCCAGAAGATGGGATACTGTATCCTGTGATCTTGCAGTCATTTCAAATGAAGGAGAGGAGAGGCAAGTGCCCAGATTGATCTGCGTTCTATTTGCATTGCACCTTTCTCCGCCTTACTTGTGTAGCCTTGCATATCCCTTCCGTAGCCTTGTTTTAGTGAGGGGCTAAGCAACAACCAAGACAACTCAGATGTTAGCACTGCTAGGTGTAATCGCAAGAATGTCCTCAGGTTCAGGTCCTTCCAAGGGTTCGTTTGGGTGGTTTGGATCGTCCATCAACTTTGTGCATGGTGCAGCTTCTCTTGATTGGCTCATTTCAGCCAAGAAAAACACAAAACAAGGAATCATACGGTGGTCGCATTGCTTTCGCCAACAGAATCTTGAAAGGACACTTCTCCTGCTACAGCCTTGGAGTCTTGAATCAATCAAAATTGTCACATCCGCTAAAGAACCATCGTACATCAGAACAGACTATAATATACCTTTCTACTGGGGCCTTGGCAAGCGCAAAAATCTAAATATCCCAGCGTCTTCTGTTCACCTGACCAACGGCCATTTACATGCCAAAAATTCCAATCCTGGCCCTTGCCTGCATCCAACACTCTTCCATGAGGCTGGCTTCCGTACCTATGCAGAGCGTGAGTCCCTGCGTGGCATGCCACGGAAGACGGACCCAGACTCGGTGCCCCTCTTGCCGGAAGACGTCTACGAAGACCTGGTGCCGGTGCTCCGCAACGATGTCCGAGAACAGTGGAGACGTCGTATCGAGGACCTGTAACCCCTGACGGACGACGTGTGGGGATAGGAACACAGCGGGAACAACCAAGTCCCAAATACACTACCGATGGGACTGATACGCCAAAAGATGCAGATTGAGGGAGTGCAACACTGATCGCACTGATGTTGTTACGTTTTTTAATGTGCGGAGTATGTATATATGTATGTATATGTACATTGACCCGGGTCAAGATAATGCTCCATGGAGTGTCTAGATGTGTTTGGGGGTCGGCATTGGATTGCCCTGGGACTTCACCAACTGATAATTTTGTTTAATGTTTTTTGTGTGTTGTTTTTTTTTCAGTCACAGGACGCACAACTGTGAACACTGAAATTCACAACTGTGATTCACCACTGAAATTCACAACAGTTGGGAGTAGTTGGGACTGTTCCCTTGTCCCAACCACTTGTTCCAGGGAATGTGGGCAAGTAACAAGGATGGTGCAGGAGTTGTTCATAGGGAAGCCTCTTGGCTCCTTCAGCTTCACGGTAGATAGTGGTTGTTCATAGGCTCTATTGGCTAGTGGCTAGCGGCGGCGCTTGGGGTCAAAAGAAGAACCCCCCTCACATCTCACAGGTTCTGATTCTTATTGTATGCGGTTTTGAGATGTGTTGAGGGGTGCTGCAGAAAACGCATGGCTCAAAGCAAAACTAACTAAATTGGACCAACTCGAATGGGAAAGACTAAATCTATATTGCAGGAGAACTCTTCGATCCTGACCTTCAACACGGTTGTTGAACAACCCTACTCCTTGTTTGTGGTGCGTCTATACGCATGTAGGGTCAGCGAGTTGCATCAAGCAGATCCCTTCAATGTGACAATTGCAGTATGACGCAGTTCCTCGAAGCCGCTCCCGCTGGAGCTCGGAGTTCCACCCTGTTCCAGGGATTATTCCCTTGGTCGTCGGGTGGCATTTGGTGCCAAATAACTGTCATCATGAGAACAATATGTAATTATGTGAAAATCCAAACAAAACACAACACTTGCGTCCCCGTGAGGAGGGCGACCTGGATGAGAAGCTCCGCGTGCAGTTGAAGCACGGCTTTCCGGAGCTGGAGGACCTGGAGAGTTCGATCGGTCGATCAGCACGTCCGATGTTCGTGCCAAGCTAGAACCCAACCAGGCCCCTTACTTTGAGCTTGAGGGGCCTAAGAATGGCTCAAATCCGGGGAGCAGTTGAAGAGCCACCAAGAACGGGTACATAACGGGTTTATGTGCCTCCAATAGGACACGCAATGCAAGAACCAATGAATTCAACTAAAGGCAATCTGCAGTTTTTACCTCATGATGATCTGGTGGAATAGACTTCATTCAACACCTCCAGTCTTCAGCTATAGGCTATCTACTCCTTCCAGCCAGCTGCAGACACTGGCAACTGTGCCAGCTGCGGAGGAGTGGACGAACCTCACAACGGTGCGGCGCATGCTACGAGCCTCTCAAGGCACCAAAAACTACCCCCGTGTTTCATTCGCGCGAGCGACGCAGGGCGAGTCGGAGTGACAATGCTGGAGTGACCCAAGTTTCTGGACTTTTTGCATGATGGTTTTTCCAGTTTCCTCTCAAGAGGACTGGTCAGACTAGTGGAAGTGACAATTGAAGTGCTTGCATTTGGGTTCAGCACCATCGGTCGAAGTCTCGACCCAACGGATGGGTGTGGACCACCTCCAATCGGACAGTCATTCCCAGTCAAGGAAAACCGTTTTGTAACGGAAGATGTCTTCCCAGGTCCACCGTGAGGTTTGTCAGTTTTGGAAGATTCCAAAGATTTGCCTCCCCCAGAGCCTGACCTCCAGATTTTCAGAGAGGTTCGCAAGACGTCAGGTCTTTGGAGAGCACAGCTGGTGTTCAAGATCTGTTCAGTTTTGGTGCCTTCCCAAGCAGCTTCAGCAGGGTACATGCAGCTGGCACCACTCCAGCTTCGGATCTGCACCATCTCACCGCTTGAGGGTGGCTGTGGAGATACCGTAGCCGGGCCACCAACCTGGGTGACCCAGCAACCGGAACCGGTTGTGACCTGTCCTGCGCTCTTGGAGCTACACCAGGGGAGTCAGTCCCACTCTTTGGGTGCTAGCGATTGAAGGTTGATACTGGAGAGCAGGCCATCCGGGTAGCCCCAAGTTACGGCCCTCAAAAGAAACGCCGCGCCAGGCAGCATGAGTCAGGCGTGCGGAATAGGGATGGATATCCGCTTGGGTATTGGTTGAGGAGACGCTGTCTTCAGTAAATGACAAGGACATCCCTTTGTGACTCCCAAAGGGATACCGAAGTCCAAAGGGAAGGTATTCAAACCATCCGCTGAGTCTCGCGTTGATCCTCCGTAGTGTTCTCCATGTTTTAGCCTCCTCGAGATGGTCGATCATTAACGAAGTGATACGCAGTGGCTGCAGGTTCCACTCAGTTTCCAAGGCACAAAGGATCTGGATGGATTGATCGGAGTGCTTCTTGCAGCCTTCCAGCGGAATATGGACATATACCAGGTATATGCAGCCCATATATAACTGCCCTAACCTATTTGTATATAGTTATTATTACATACATGTCCATTACTAGTTCAACCATTCTGCCTTCGTTCGACGCTATATTGAACCAAAATTATCCGGAGTCCCCAGATCCACCGGTCTTCTCTGCGAGTCTCGGCGGCCGTGACGACGTTCGGTGGACGACTGGATCTAGAGCCCCATTTGGGGTCCGGCCGTGACGGGATTTCTCACGGAATCCTGCGGTTTGGGGAGCGAAAACACGCCGCACATTGGGTCCCAGATGCGATGCGTTGATGGACTCCAATATTTCAATGGTCACACCATGCAGACACCAGGAATCGGATGCTTCAACCATGGAAAACCTCGCCTGAAAAGAAGAGCGTACCGTGCACCGGGACCGGACGGGACCAGGCTGTGCCGATGCTGATGAAGGCCATCGAGTGCCGCGTACGGGAGAGGGAGCTGTTCCAATCTATGCGCTGCAAGGTGGGGTACGACGAAAGAGTGGAGACGAGAGCGGAGGAATGTGACGGAAAAGCAACAACGACAGGGAGTCTGCGAGCTAATTCAGCTCTGCTTCAGGAAATCCAAGTCCTTTTGCATCGGGCTTATGCAATGATCCCAGGTGGAATGCTTTTGTGTTTTGTGTGTGTGGTCACAGTGTCGGTCTTAAAAGTATGGTTCCCCAAGTTGATGTTATTGGCATATGTTTGGTCAATATATTAGAGACATTAAAGATCACTCACACTCGCATCAAGAAGGTCTATATCCTGCGCTTCATGCAGTTGTAGGTATTGAAGATTGAAGTCTCATCTATACCCCTATGTGGTGCGGATTCCTATGAGCAGTTTTCTTTTATTAGTCTGCAAGATCCTCGAAATACATGTTTCTGGTTCTTCAAAGTGACTAGTTAGTTGATGTCGTGATTTGAGGTCCTATTCGGCGTGCAAAATGACAGACTGGGGCACTCCAAAAGAGTCACGTTGAAGAAGATTGTTGTTTCAAGGGGGTTGGGAGCTCATGAGGACCATGGTGGTTTTCCTCGTGGCGTTCCATCTTCCGAAGAATTACACCAAAGCCAGACACCGAAGCTCTTCCATCCGAAAAACCGGCTGACGCGATTCCTCTATGAATGAAGAAGGGGTGCAGGGCTGCGGATCAAGACTACACCCAAAACAGCAAAGGGTGAGCAGTGAGTAGATCTGAGCACGTTTGATCGAAGGACCATGTCAATTACGGTCTGCTCAGGTCCCGGAGGTCAGGCCAGACCCGTACCAAGACCCACTCCGTCGCACTGAACCTCAAAGTCCCAGAAATGGTGATCAGTTGATGTTGAAGGGAACAGGACCCAGGACCACCGGTTTTCACCACGTTTTCAGGGTTGAAACACCCCCCATGTTCCGGGCGCCAAAACAGCGTGTCCTGTGTACATGTTCCGGGCGCCTGGTCAGGTGGCCTGCGACATGCGCATCATTGGCCGTGATCGGGAGAACCGGCCGGCTGCTGGGATGTGTTTTTTTTCTTTCGGGAGGGAAGAGCTTACTTTGGTACACCGTGAAAACATGCAGGAGCTGTTTCTTTGGGTGGAGGGTGGTAGTATGTGGTAATAGCATGCCTATCAGATGACATCCATGAAATCAATATATATATATATACATATACACAGAAACCTCAGTAGAAACCTCCATCTATAGTTGATACAGGTACAGGGTCACCTGTATGTACTATCGATATCGATGCCAATAGTTACATCTCGGCCAGTGTTGACCTCGCTGACCGTAGATTTTCCGGATCTTGGTCCATGCAATCAGCATGCGGGCAGCCCGTGTCACCAAAAGAACTGAAGTGTTGCTGTGCAGAGTATGGGTGCAAATATATAACATCAAAGTTTAAGGACCAAGGCTTCGAATACCTTTTGCAAGAACACGTTGAACAAAAACACAAGTGTCACCCTAAAATGTTAAGACAGTTTTGGCATCGGCTATATATGTCTTTCAAAGTGAGCCCTCAATCTTGTCCTGCCAAAGCCCTTTGTAGAGTCAGGGTGCATTCCGAACAGAATCCTGTTGACAGGGAGCGGGCAGACGTGCAGTGAAATGCTGTTGAACGTTTCGTTGGGGTCCAGAGGAGTGACCAAAAGAACCTCACCAGTAGTAACAAGAAGCTAGTAGGAACAAGTGCCACGCTAGTAGTAAC